CTGATCTCAAGTGATCCACCCCTTTCGGCCTCCCAAAGTGCTGGCATTACAGGCGTGAGCCACCGCGCCCAGCCCATTTATTTAATAACTGTTTATTATTCTTCCATTCTAAACCTCTGCACCTTTAAGTTCATTTCCTCGGCTTATCCCCACATTTCATTGTCTATCATTTACCAAATATGATAGGGTCACCATTTCTTACATAATTCAGTATGTTGACATATAGGGAAATGTTTGCCAGTGATTCCCTGCTCTTTGGCCAAAAAGTAATGCACTCTCAAAGGTGCTGAAAAGAATCTTAATCTCCCTATGATGGTAGGGGACAGTGTGGGGGGACTGCTGAGGAGTTTGTGCACTGGGGTGGTATGAGGTATATTCAGGAGAGCAAATAAAAGCACCCTAGGTACAAGCAGTATCAACAATCAAGTCAACCTATGTGAAGCTAGATCGGAGGGGATCTCACAGATTTCCTCAAACACTAACCCCAGTCTCACGTATACATCTGCATCTAGCACCGAAAGCCAAGGAAAAGCTCCTTCAATCTGGGGCAGGGTAATGGGAGACTCTATACAAAAAGGGATCTTTCTCACAGTGTTTTTTGGGGAAAACGTTAAACAATTCTGAGTATGGGAGTTCAGCGCAAACAAAGATTTGAGAATTTTTAGCCTATTTATTCTGACAAAATACCCAGCATGTATCTACAACTTTTTTTTTCAAACTTTTTTTATTATCACAGTTGAAATAATTTCTACATTGTAATTTAGAATGCATGCACGCATGCATGTGCACACACACACACATATACATACACACACACTTCTATAAGTAAACCAAAAGTGGTCAAACATCAACTTTCAAAACATTGTTGTGTCTCACGACGATGCCTGTCCCAGTCAAGGAGCCAACATTTGTATTTGCCTGAGGAAAAGGTTGTGATGGGGGCGAGGGTGGATTTCGCTTGTAAGGCTGCTTGTATTTCACTGTGTTTCTTTGTTTTTTTAATTTGATGACACCTTCAAGAGATAAATGGCGACAATTTGTTACAACAGATATTTGACAAATTGGGACAGTATTTTATTTTAATTGTTAGAGACAGGGTCTCACTCAATTGCACAGGCTGGAGTGCAGTGGTGCCATGATAGAGCACTGCAGCCTCAACCTCCTGGGCTCAAGCAATCCTCTCATCTCAGCCTCCCTGGTATCTGGGACTACAGGTGTGCACCACCATGGCTGGCTGTCCTTATATATAAATATAAATATAGTATATGTGTATATATGTATATGTATACATACATATATGTATGTATATATAAATATCTATATATGTATATATAAATATATGTACATATATAAAAATATATATACATATATACACATATAAATATATTTATATATAAATATATACACATAAATATATATATATGTACACATATAAATATATATGTATATATAAATATATGTACATATATAAATATATATTATATATAAATATATGTACATATATAAATATATATTATATATAAATATATGTACACATATAAATACATATTTATATATACATATATAAATACATATTTATATATAAATATACGTACATATATAAATACATATTTATATATAAATATATGTACATATATAAATACATATTTATATATAAATATATGTACATATATAAATACATATTTATATATACATATTTACACATATAAATATATAATTTATATATTTATATAGTTATATGTGTATTTATATATATATACACACACGCACATATATATGTATTTTCAGAGACAGGGTCTTGCTCTGTCACCCAGGTTGGAGTGCAGTGGTGCAAACATGGCTCACTGCAGCCTCCACTTCCTGGACTTGAACAATCCTCTTGCCTCAGTCCCCAAGTAGCTGGGACTACAGGTGCACACCACCAAGCCCAGCTAGTTATTCATTTTTTGTAGAGAAGATGGGGTTTCACCATGTTGGCCAGGCTAGTCTCAAACTCCTGAGCTCAGGCAATCTGCCTGCCTTGGCTTCCCAAAGTGTTGGGATTACAGGTGTGAGCCACTGCGCCTGGCCAATTTTAAATAAATGAGCATTTACTCACATAGAACCCTTGAATTACAAAGCTGGTGCCACCTTAGAGATCATCTGAGGCCCACCAATATTGTTTTGGAGAGTTTTGAGAAAAACACCATGCCCAGGCCTGACTCCAGACAAACTGAACCAGAAGCTCAAGGGATGGGACCAAGGGGCATTTCCACTTTTAAAGCTCCACAGGTGATTCCAACATGCAGCCAGGATCAAGAAACAGCTCCAGTCTCACTATTTCATTTTACCAATAAAGATCTAGAAGTTCAGAAAGATGAAGTGACCTGCCTAAGGTCACACTGCCAGTAAGTGGTGTCTCACAACCAGCTCCTCTGACTGCCAACCCAATGTTCTTTCCACTATGTTCTTTTTTTGTTTCTTCTTATAGAAAGAACTTAGGGTTTTACTGAACATTAAAGTTATACAATTTACAATTGAGAGAGAAGAGCTAGGGTCCAGTAAGTATTGGTGGGGCATCTCCAGAGGGCTCAACGCAATTGTGGGTTCTCTGAAGACTACTATGCCCAGGACATAGCTCCTGCCAAGTCTCATTGATGGCAGTCGAATGACATTTTGCTAAAGGCAATGACTAACACTGTATGCAGTGTTCATTAGTCTTGTGTTCGGTCACTTGTTCACAAATTAGTTTCACCAATGATAGTAAACATTCACTGACAAATGTTCTCACTTTCAGGAATTAATTACATTAAAGCAAACAATAGTGGGACAGATCAGTGGTTCTTAATGTTTGAATTAGGGTGGTTTATTAACCTTAATATTGGTTAGGGCAGGGAGTCACAGGTCCCATTGGAGAACTAGTGAAAACTACAAACTTCCCCACAAAAATACACATACATAAATGTTGCATGTAATTTCTGAGGATTCACTGACACCCCTCCCATCCTGCCTAAACTCATACATAGACTCCAGATTAAAATCTCCTGGACTAGATGATTTTGAAGCTCTCTTTTAGTGTTTCTCAAAGTGTGGTCCATGGACCACAGAATCAGAATCACTTGGGGTGTTTGTTAAAGAAGAGATTCATAAGACTGCCACAGACCTACTGTTTCAGAATCTCTGGGGAATGAGGTACAGGAATCCGTATGTTAAAACAAACAAACAAACAAACAAAAAAACCAGATGGTTCTTTTGGAAACTAACACTTGAGAATCAGTGCTTTATTCCAACTCGACATTTTTAAATGCTTTCATCTGTTGAATATTTTAGGTTTTGTCTGTTCATCTATCAAGTATAGCAAACAGTATGCTTAGTATTAACTCATTACAGAATATTTGTGTGTATGTACATAGGAAAAACACCTGGAAGTGTAGACGTGGGTGTGTGTATATATATGTGTAAATATATATAATAGTGTTAATACTGGGAATACAGATCTCTATTTTTCCCCCTTTATTCTTCTGTTTTATTTCTCTCATTTTTTTTCTTCCTGTGTTTTAAAAAATATGCTTCTTGTTTCTGAGCTCAATTCCCCCATCTGAGAACAGGGTGCTGTAACTAGGTGAACTTCAAGATCATGTCTTGTTCCAATGGTCCGTGACTCCATACTATCCTCTAGGTTCCCTCCTCCATCTCACAGCATGAACTGCATAGGTAACAACAGTGTTTGGAGAATAAGCATGTATTATTTTTGTATGTATTACGTTTGAGATGCCTAGCAACCGTTTTTGTGCCCGCAAAATTTTTCTCTTCTTTGTCAAGGAGCCAAAACGGAAATAGTCTACTATCTACGGCCCTCAAAAGTTCCTCCTCTCTCCTTAGCCTTAGAAAATACCGTCCGCCATAGGCATGGGCAAAGACTTCATGACTAAAACACCAAGAGCAATTGCAACAAAAGTCAAAATTGACAAATGGGATCGAATTAAAAGAGCTTCTGCACATCAAAAGAAACTAGCATTAGAGTGAACAGGCAACCTGCAGAATGGGAGAAAATTTTTGCAATCTACCCATCTAACAAAGGTCTAATATCCAGAATCTACAAGGAACTTAAACAAATTTACAAGAAAAAACAACCCCATCAAAAAAGTGGGTAAAGGATATGAACAGACACTTCCCAAAAAAGACATTTATGTAGCCAACAACATGAAAAAAAGCTCATCATCACTGGTCATTAGAGAAATGCAAATCAAAACCACAATGAGATACCATTTCACGCCAGTCAGAATGGCGATTATTAAAAAGTCAGGAAACAATAGATGCTGGCGAGGCTGAGGAAAAATAGGAATGCTTTTACGCTGTTGGTGGGAATGTAAATTAGTTCAGCTGTTGTGGAAGACAGTGGGGCGATTCCTCAAAAATCTAGAACCAGAAATACCGTTTGACGTGTGCACACGTATGTTTATTGCAGCACTATTTACAACAGCAAAGACTTGGAACCAACCCAAATGCCCATCAGTGATAGACTGGATAAAGAAAACGTGGCACATATATACCATGGAATACTATGCTGCCATAAAAAAAAAAATGAGATCGTGTCCTTTGCAGGGACATGGATGAAGCTGGAAGCCATCATCCTCAGCAAACTAACACAGGAACAGAAAACCAAACACTGCATGTTCTTACTCATAAGTGGGAGTTGAACAATGAGAACACATGGACACAGGGAGGGCAACAACACACACGGGGGCATGTCAGGGGGTGGGGGCCAAGGGGAGGGAGAGCATTAGGAGAAATACCTAATGCATGTGGGGCTTAAAACCTAGATGAAGGGTTGATAGGTGCAGCAAACCACCATGGCACATGTATACCTATGTAACAAAGCTGCACATTCTGCACATGTATCCCAGAACTTAAAGTAAAATTTAAAAAAAAAAAAAAGACAGAAAAAGAAAAAGAAAATGCCGTCCGCGCATATCTCTTAGGCGCATAGGAAGGGTTGTGAACCAAAAAGCCAGGGCGTGGTTGCCCCGCCCACCGGCCTCTACATCACCACCCCTCTCGCCGCTTTCAAGCGCGGAGATTGGCTGTAAGCAAGAAAGAGCCCCGCCCCTAGTCTTATGACTCGCGCTGAAGCGCCGATTCCTGGCTTTTGCAAGGCTGTGGTCGGTGGTCACCCGTGCTCCTGACGCAGGTCCAGCGAGCCTTTTCCCTGGTGTTGCAGCTGTTGTTGTACCACCGCCGTCGCTGCCGCCGTCGCCTGCTCTGCGGGGTCATGGTGTGCTTCCGCCTCTTCCCGGTTCCGGGCTCAGGGCTAGTTCTGGTCTGCCTCGTCCTGGGTGAGTTGTCGGGCCCTCCCGATTAGTCTGTCCGCCTGGGCCCGGGGCGCCAGTTCAAAGCTACAACCTGAAAGACTGGTCCGAGGGGGCGGGGGGTGAGAGGCTCAGCAACTGACACTGGGCGGCGGCGATTGGCCCGAGGAGGCGAGCGGTGACCTAGAGAAGGCCTGACAGAGGGATGGCGGGGAAGAAGGGCCCAGGAGAGTAAGAAGGGGCCGGTAACGGGGGGTGGACGCCGAGGGAGTAGGCTGGGAGGAGTGAAGCGTGGAGAGGGTCAGGGTGGAAAGAGTAACTTGGGGAAAACACTGAGGAGTGAGCGTAGGAGGGTGGTACATGCAGATTTTGGGCGCCAGAGACAATTAGGAGAGTCCTGGTTTGCTGAGATCAGGGAAGAGTTTTGAAGATGGTGGAAAAACTATGGGGTGAGATAGGAAATTAAGAGAGGAGACCATGCCTGCCTGGAGTAGCTTGGGGGAAGAGTGTGGGTGGGGGACAGATGGAACAGATAGGACAGTAGAGCCTGAGGGGCAGGGGCAGGGACAGGGTTGGGCATTTTGAAGGTTGGAATTTGAGGCTGTGAAGAAGGGGTGATTCAAGAGATTAGGAGTGATGCTGGGTTTGAGTTTGGTAGTCATAGTTTTAAGGGCGAAGGAGCCTAAGGTAGCTGGGGCAATTTCCAGGAAAGAAAACTTGGACCCAGCCTCTGGAGACTAAGGGGTTCGGTGGGAACTTTGATGGGGAGTGCACATCTGACTTGGAGGTATTAAGGATGTCGATTTTCTCCCAGTTTTGCTACTTCCTCCCAGCCAGACGCTGACAAAAAAATCCCCAGACGTTTCAGTTAGGAGGGCCTCCCAGATGAGAGGTTTTGATAGACTGAGTTTGGTAGACTACCTCTTTGCCTTCAGAGTCTCTTGTTTTCTTTCTTCCCCATCACACTAGCCTATTACCTCATTTTTTTGGGGGGTGCAGGGAGCAGGTAGACAACTTGCTAAGGATTGGGTTGTTACCAGGGCCTCATTAGAATGGCTGGATGGGGCCGGGCCCGGTGGCTCACGTCTGTAATCCCAGCACTTTAGGAGGCCGAGGCAGGTGGCCTCACCTGAGGTCAGGAATTCGAGACCGGCCTGGCCAACATGGTGAAACCCCGTCTCTACTAAAAATACAAAAATTAGCCAGGCGTCGTGGCACATGCCTGTACTCCCAGCTACTTGGGAGGCTGAGGCAGGAGAATCGCTTGAACCCAGGAGGCGGAGGTTGCAGTGAGCCGAGATCGTGCCATTACACTCCAGCCTGGGTGACAAGAGTGAAACTGTGTCTCTAAATAAATAAATAAATAAATAAATGGCTGGGTGAATGTTCGCTGATTGTGTTGTGCCCTAATAGGCAGTGGGTCCCTAACAGCTTTAATGCCTGAAGATGGACTTTGACTAGTGTCTCTTCCTGACTTGATTCACGCTGTGCTTGTTGCTACCCACCTGCTCTTGCTATTTGTGACTTAATAAAATAACATAAAGAACAGACCCAGATGGAAGTGGGGAAGAAATAGACTTATTAGGGGTCTGAGAAAGCAGTGAGAGGTATACATTTTGTAATTCACACTTCAGTAGAATAAAATCAACACCCTGGAATAGTCATTCTCCACCAGGGGACATTTGGCAACTTTTGGAGACATTTTTGGTTGTCACAACTGGGGGATTGCTTTTAGCATCTAGTGGGTAGAGGCCAAGGATGCTGCTAAACATCCTAACTAAGCACAGGGCAGCCCCTCACAACAAACAATTATCTTCCTGAAAATGTCATTGATAAACCCTGCTCAAAAACCATAGTATTGGAAGGGTTCTTGATTATCTAATTCAGTGACTCTCAAGGACCTTTTCATGGGTCTATGAAATCAAACCTTTGGAATAATGTTAAGAAGGTTTTTGTCCTTTTCGGCTGGGCACAGTGGCTCACGCCTGCAATCCCAGCACGCTGGGAGGCTGAGGCGGGTGGATCACCTGAGATCAGGAGTTCAAGACCAGTCTGACCAACGTGGTGAAACCCAGTCTCTACTAAAAATACAAAAATTAGCCGAGTGTCGTGGCACATGTCTGTAATCCCAGCTACCTGGGAGGTCAAGGCAGGAAAATCGCTTGAACCCGGGAGGTGGAGGTTGTGGTGAGCCAAAATTGCGCCACTGCACTCCAGCCTGGGCAACAAGAGTGAAACTCCATCTCAAAAAAAAAGAAAGTATTTGTTCTTTGTCCTTTTCGCTCATCCTCTCACCAGTGTACAGCGGAGTTTACCAGTGGCTACATAACATGTGATGACCTCACCACTCTGATGTTCTTATATTTTATTCATTTCTCAGTTTTAATTTCTAATACTCTAAATACCAATACATATGACTCACATAAACCTCTGTGAAGTCCTCAGTGGATAAGAAAGTAAAGGGGTCCTGACACCAAAACGTTTGGTAGTCCAACTGTTCATAGGGTGCAGGAAACTCTTCTGTAGCACTTCTGAAAGGTGGCCTTGAGGCAGGCTTTGCTTGAATACTTAATTCGAAGCCTTAACTGTCCCTTGGAGCACTTACTGAGGGTCAACTGACCCTAAGAAAGGATTGTTTACAATGGAAAGTACCTTATCAGTGACTAGAACACATCTGACCAAGGCATCTGTTAATCAGTAGTTCCCTGCCAGTTGAATCTGTGCACAAATACAACACTGCTATTGTTTGGGGAAAGTGAAAAAAATAATAGTTGTCCTACTTGTTGGCTTTCATGTCATTAAATTTTTTTTGTTTTTTAATGAAAGCTTTTTTGTTTTGTTTTTACAAAAGCAGTGCTTACTCATTGCAGAAAATAAACATGCAAAAAGAAGCACATAAAAGAACCCATCAGCTCATCTGCTAGTTTGCCATTTATTGATCGGGACTAACTAGATTCATCCTCTTGGAAAATTTCCAAGATTGATCCCCTCCACCTCCAAGTTCAGAGCAGGATTTGGAAAAGTAAATATTAATAATGTACCTAGATCGGATTTTTAAGAGGTTCCAGGATGAAATAGAAACCATTCTTCTATACAGCTGCATTTTCTGATGGCTACTGGTTCAGTGTGGAGCCCAAAGTCCTCCCATATGGCTTTTTCTCTCAAGAATTTAGCAGTTGCTTGGTGGGTTTTGTGCAAGTTACTTTTCTGTATCAAAATGGATACCAAGAATAGGTTTTTGAAAACTCAGTAAATATTTGTAAAGTACCTACTATGTAGCTAGATCAATAAATATTTGTGAAGTATCTACTATGTAGCTAGAACTGTGCCTGGGTACTGTACAGGGTGCCAATGAAGAAGGACCTGTCCTAAATTTATAGTCTTATTAGCATTAGTGCTCTAGCTGTGCCAGTTTGACTTTGTAACTTTATAACTCTATCCCAGCTTCACCCGTAACCTTTTAAAAACAGCAGCTTTAGAGTAAGTACAGAAAAGGATTCTTAGAGGCTATATATTGGTCTTTTTCATAGAGATTAAATTATGCTGGTGTTTATTTGGATGAATTGTAACTGGCCAGATAACTTTCCGAAGAGAAGCTATATGATTTAGAGGTGTTATAAAGTGGATAGTGAAAATCCTTTCTTTATATAATTGCCTAATTATGGTCCTTTTGTGACATCATAGATTTCAGGATTCTTCTGTGGTTATTGATTCTTATAACTAGCTTGACTTCTGTTTTTTGGTTTCTTTGTGTTGTTGTTGTTTTTTGGTTTTGGGTTCAGATTTTTCTTTTTTAGATTTGAGTCTTTTCTGGGTGGGAAAAACCTCACAGAAATATTCTTAGTGTCCGTCACTGGTAGGAGCCTCTCCCTTCCACACATGTTTACAGAATGCCTATTGTGTCCCAGCCACTATATTAGGTGAAAGTGACAGAGGAATGGATAAGACAGATGAGTTTCCTGCTCTCATGGAGCTTACATTTTAGTGGGAGAAGAAAGCTCAACAGATAAATAACATAATGTCAGATAGTGATAAACACTATGAAGAGGTTGGGTGTGGTGGCTCACACCTGTAATCCCAGCATTTTGGGAGGTCAAGGCAGGCAAATCACCTGAGGTTAGGAATTTGAGACAAGCCTAGCCAACATGGTGAAACCCCATCTCTACTAAAAATACAAAAATTAGCTGGGCATGTTGGCCGGCACCTGTAGTCCCAGCTACTCGGGAGGCTGAGGCAGGAGAATTGCTTGAATCCAGGAGACAGAAGTTGCAGTGAGCCGAGATCATGCCACTGCATTCCAGCCTGGGGAGCAAAAGCAAAACTCTGTCTCAAAACAAAACAAAACCCTATGAAGAAGATTACACAGGTAATGAGAAAGGAGAATGAGTAGATGATAGGAATGGGTGATGGTGGATGTTCCTTCTTTATATTATGTGGTCAGAGGGCCTTCCATTATTGGGTGACATTTGGGCAGAGACCTGGGTGTTGGCAGGAGGCCAGCCATTTGACCATCTGGGGAAATAGGAATAAACCTTATCATTTGCAAAATCTTAGGTTACTAGCCTATTTTCCACTCTCTTTTGTTTCCTCCTAGTTTTAATCAAGTCTCTCCTATGGTAGCAGTCTCTAAGAGCAGAGACTACTTTATGTACTGTTATCTCCCATTTCCTACTTAGCATAGGGTCTGGTACATGGTTAACCCTTAGTAAATTTTTGTTGAAGATATTCATTGGTGGGCACTAGGGATATGATGGTAAACTAGACTCATTTAATCTCCTTTTTCTTCCATGAATTTTAAATGATGTTTTGCAAGAAGTACTTTTGGGTTGAAAACTTCAAGATCAGTGCTAAGCAGTACAGATAATTATACAGTAATTTACTAAAGTATAATCCCATATAATAATGCTTACCTGTACTCCTTCAGATATACCTCCATAGTCTTGAAGGGGATGATATGGAGAATTAGGAAGTCCTTGGTGAGGAGAGTTAGGTTTTCACAAAGTTAGGTTTTCTCTGAGAGAAAACAA